CATTGAATCGTGACTCTTCATGAAAAATGTATTTACTTCAGTGATCGAAGTAGGATACAACGGGCTGTTGTCCTAAAACATACGTACAGCTGCAAAAACGTATGGCGCCTGGATGGTAATCTAATGCAGATAAATCTACTCTAGTTTCATGAGTCCTCGTTCATCGATTAAAACGTGAGTGTTCTTCTATCAATAATTGAAGAAGAGCGCGAGCAGACTTTGCAAGACTGAGCAAAGAAGATTAGTAAACAGAGCTAAAGCCCTCCTGTACGGCAACGCTTGACCTATAGCGCAAGAATCACCGTGCCAATATATAGATTTGGTCATTCGCCGTATTCATCAGGAATTCCTTTTACAGTTGACCCTTTCTTAAAAACTCCACAACTGTTCAATAGTTGGACATATATATATGTCCAATATATATATATATATATATATATAATAATAAATAATTTCGAATTAATTATATATATATATATATATAATTAATTCGAAATTATTATTCGAAGCTGTATATAGACCCTATACCCAGACTTCTACGGCAATAAATAGAAGATACATGAGCACAGTTTAAGCTTCGATTGAAAATTTAAGAACAATGCTTTTAAAAAATAAAATTTATTATCCCGTGTTTCGTTTTGTCTAGAGACCTAACTGGCAACCAGCAGGGCCAACCAATTCTTTCTATAGGCAGTCAATTTAAACAGTTAACACCAGCAAAATTCCTTTCCTCCAGCGTACGCGCGTACCGACAATAATCTGGAGAAAGATTAACAAAAATGTCATTGATGCGTCGCGTAACGTCTCGAAGCAACTCTTCGACCTTTTACCGGCCCGGGGGCAACGTCGGAATGACGAGACACACCATACGCCGTAGAACTCGTCGTTGTCAACGTAAACTAAGACCCACGCGATGTTACCTCCTATTTTTTTGCCATAGAGCTGTTCACGTACAGGCGACAGAGTGCCACATCGTACCAAAGGGTGCGAGTAAAGCAACGAACTAAGTAAAGTTTATTTGGTTATTCGACTACTTCGTCGCTGATGTCGAATCGACATCAGTCGACTGCAATGAACGTGACAACGTCATTTTATTTCAACGACCGCCCAAGCGCCCTTTCAACGTTATATGGGTTTGCCTTCCCGGTCATCCAACCCCCCAACCCCCCCTCTTAAACCCTTCTACTTTCTAGTGTTATTTTTCGCAGCAGCGCAACTACGTTCTCATGGCTTACCCTCTTCCCATCATTTTCTCCACTTTTCTTCGGAGTATGCACTCTCCTGAATTCCTTAAATACATCTCCACCAGACGTCTCGTGTCCGCCGTAGACAGACACACAAACCCCTAAATATATCCTTTCTTCCCTGCGTCAGTGTTCATGTACGTGTATATATATAGTCGGTCGTACCCCCACTGCTCTAGTAGCACCTCCTCGTAGAGTTTCCGTTTTAACTTTAAACTGCACTGCAATGCACTTTATATGCCCGCATTTCCCCGACGACCAAATTTAACTTCTCGGTCCGTCCGCTAGCTCGCTCATTCACTTTCTCGCTTTGCCCCCACCACTCTCTTACTAGTTTTCCCTGACCGTTTCGGCCACTCCATTTCTCTCTCTTTCTTGCTCCGTTTGGTGTCTCGTTCTCAGCAGGCGAAATGCCGGCGTAAAGCTCAAATGCTGAACGGCGAACACCCAAGCAAACACTCAGCACTTTCGCTGGCATAGGCCTTCAGTCGGTTGCTTCGGCGGCCCTCAAAGTCACCACCCAGGCCAACCCGGTCGCTCGGAGCTCCGGGCCGCCTCCTAACTTCCCATTTTGTGCTTTGCTAATGCTGCTAATTTGCTAGCTGAAGAAGTGTTAGCTACTCTCCTGGCTAAAGCATGATTAGCTTGGCTGGATCTGCAATTGCCTCCTACCATCTCTCCCTAAAAGGTTCTCCCTGACTCTGGAAAGATCCTGAAGATCTCAAAACACATTGTGTACCGAGCCACTACCCTCTTCCATGTCATCGCCTAATCCGATCCCCAGCACCTTTATTTTCAGGATGGCTGCAAACCAGCTGACTGCCTTGTCCCTGTCTGGTCGCTGCTTGACTTCCATAGTCTCAACGGCCGACAGCCGCCGGGGATCGGCGATGATGAACGGACCGACGGAGTCATCGCCGGTACTTCAGTCCTCCACCGCTATTAGTTCAACATCCAAGAGTTCGCTTGCCGCATCGCTTGCTTTCTCGGTCGGCGAGCCGGCGCCATCCTCTTACCGTGCTACAACAGCTGCCGTGCGGACATTAAGCCAATAACAGACAAGAGGCAGCAATCGTAAGTTGACCCGTGCGGCTTCTCCCACTTCCTCAAAGCCGACCGCCTTCTCGCCAATACTCTCTCTCTCTCTCTCTCTCTCTCTCTCTCTGGTAGGTCGAACCCTCACCAGAACGGAAGCTTTCGACGAGAAATGGACGAATAAGCGGGAATGTTACAGTAGCAGCAGTAGCCACCGCTAACTACATTACAAACAGTATTATAGCGAGCAACTAGTTATAAGAGTTAAGGTAGCAGTGGTCCTGCTGGCAGGTTGCAGGCAAACGAAAAGTCTGTAACCTATTGAGCGTCCTTCGATAGAGGATTTTGCGGCACGATGTAATTTACCTCGGCAACCACGCGACCGACCGCAACCTATGTAACAGCAGGACAGTAGTTAATAGAGAGGGCATGTAATATGGGAAAAAGACCAAAGCACTGAAGGAGCTATAGGGGCATACGCTATCTAAACATTTCCAGACGATATTGTTTAAAGCGACTCGGTGGGTACGGACATTATTTCTTTTTGCTAATAGTTGTTGTAGACTTTTGAGAGAGCAGTGTTTCGGAAGTAGAGAAAAATTTTACAGAGACGACGGCCTTCTTTTGGACATCTTAGATAGCGCTAAAGCTATTTATCCTCGAGTGAAAGCCAAAACGTTTAGATTCGAATGCTTTGGATCATCAAACATTTCAAATAAATCCCCAAACTTGTGCCTGTAAACATTGCACATAGAGGACATTAAAAGTACGAATAGCAGTTGCAGTTTGGACCACGCCAGAGCTTCGCAAGGTAAGGCGAATGCGTAGAATAAGGCTTCAGTCGTAGTAAACTTTGAACGGAGTGTGGCCATTATTACTTATATTAAACTGTTTTTTTATAAGTAACTGCAACTTTATTTCCTTGGAACTGAACAGTCGATTCTAGATCTCACCATTGCACGTATCTGCAGGACTTGTTTCATCAAGGGAAACATGCTCGAGCATTATGGTAACCGGCGAAAGTTAGCTAAAACTTATCATATTATCATACCCATCAAGCACATCAACATTTGCTATATAAAAACCAACATTGAGTTAGAGCCTTAACTTTAATACAAGACTTTAAGAAACACCTTTTCTACGCCAGAATCAACAATTCCATATATTACCAGTTCTTCAAACTGCTCTTATCGTGAATTTTATAAGCCCAGTTTTTTTTTTAAAAACAAACTACACAGTCTAATACCTATTATGTGACTAAAGACGTTTGTCTTTAGTATAGGATACGAAAACATGTAGAATCTAAAGCGATGTACGGTCACTACGAAAGCGGTCAGGTCCCAAGTTTTCCCAAAAAGTCCCAAAAGTTTTCTTGTACATATGAACTTCGGTCGTCACCGAAGCCGCCGGGACAATTTACGATCGCTTACCGAAAGTGAGAGCTACGCGAAGTAGGCGAACTTAAGAGCACCAGAGAATGACAAAGCACGGGGCAAAAAACTTCAGTGTTCTATTTAGTGACGCAACAAATGAGGCAATTGATGCTGGGGAAGGCAGGAAAGCGTATTCCGGTAAAAAAAAAAAAAGCTAAAATATGCTAACAGTCGCGTGCTGGCCAACAGTTAGCCTTTGAGTCCTTCGAACACCTAGACACATACGACAAGGCGTATTCTGTTTGAGTGTTATTTTCACTGCACCGCTATGCACTTTCGAACACTTCTTTAGGTCCTCCAGTGGACGAAGTCGTAAAAGTTAAGACCCTTTTTGCGGAAACCATTTTGCTTCTGCTGCGTCTGCTGCTGTCGTCTGAGTCTCAATAAGGAGGCAACAAGCTTACATGGAACAATTTGTTCCTGCCGGAAACAGAACACCAAATCTAGATTTGAGAGGACCTGGGCGGCTAAGAGATTTTTCCATCTGCAGCTGTATTCTTCATTATTTTATTGAAATGAACAGAAAGGACATGGAAAACTCGTACTAAGAAGCCAAATGCGAAAATAAAACAATCTGACAAACAGCGTACGGATTTCAAGGGATCTGCAATGTATGTATTCTATAGCTAAAACTGAGAGACAACACACAGGACAGTACTTTTCGCGACCTTTATCGCTTGAAACAGTGCATCCAGCGTATGATAACATATATATATATGTTTTCATATATATATAAACATATATAAAATATATATATAAACATATATAAAATGTTTTCTTCTATAATATCTAGTGTTAAGCACTAACGAAGTCACCTTACTATCAACATAATTTTATGTACGTTAAAGATATATATATATCTTTAACGTACATAAAATTATGTTGATAGTAAGGTGACTTCGTTAGTGCTTAACACTAGATATTATAGAAGAAAACATTTTTTTATTATATATAATTGTATGCTATAACTTGTTGCTTAAATAAGTTGTATGCTGATGGTAACAGTAATTGCGATCATTACTACTATTTACAATAAGTTACAAAAGTGGTAAATGTTGAATCTTCGTACTTAATTTTCATTGTGTGTTAATATTTGCATTTATATACCAATTATATTTTCAAAACGGAAAGGGGCGTCCGCTCGTTCTCGGTCATCTCTTAAGTAAAAAAAAAAAAAGGACATCAATTGATATTAATAAAACAGGTCTGCAAACGTTATGCCAACAAATGCTTTCAGCAATTTAATTGTGATTAGGAATTCAGTAACCCAATTTCGTTTTTATCTACTGAAAAGGGACAAATATGCCGGACATATTTTTCACTCATATTCAATAACACGTGTTGTGACCTAGGATAGCAAAGGTACCTGTGTAAGATGCCCGTATCGTTTATATCTTGTCTGTGTCCGATGGAACACCGTCGAAACTTGGCTTGAAGCCATTTCAACATCATCTTCGGAACCTACCTGCCCTAACTGAGAAGAATTGATGGGTTTTGAAATGACTGACCGGGATTCCGGTGTAAGTATAACAGCAGATATGTGCGTCGAATCCAATAGAAAATATGCCTTAGGCGCCAACGGGCTATTCCTCCATATGTATGTTCTGAGCACGTACAGACTGTACGCTACTGGAATGGATAATTTGGATTCGCCCACCTTCGTATATTACGGGTAGGGCAAATGTGCACGCAATGCGAAACAAGCCTATATTACCATGTCAAAGTGTCAACAATATCGAATCCATATATATATATACAAACGCATGTATATAAATTGTTTATCCGCGTACTGTGTGTCTCATAGGCAAATAGATTTGTCTACAATATGCTCTGAGTAAAATTAAATTTTTCGGCATTTGTATCAAATTTTTTTCCGCATAATAACAAACCCCCAACATGGTACTCCCAGATGATGTGTGCGATTTTCTTGTTTGTTTTTACTGGACAATATTTCTATTTCTGGCGTTACTGTTTCACGCAATTCTATATAGATGACAGTTAACATTCGTGCGGCGCATGCTACGACAGTTAGCCTGATCGGGTCTCCGTGCGTAACTGCGGACGATACGACGACTTCAGCGTCGTCGTCCCCAGTCGAACCATGTACGCCTTACCCAACTAATGACATCACCCCGATAGGTTTTGCAGCTCCATTGCCTAGGCATGTGGCAGCCCAACTGCGATGGGCTGCTGAGGATGTCCGAGGAAGCTGTCCCATGTTTCCCTATCAGCATGGCTACCATACCTGTACGTGATTCTAGAGGTTGGAAAACTTCTCAGTGCTATGAATGCTAGCTGATTAACTGATACTTGTATTTGATTGAGTCCCGCTGCATTAATACTGTTATTATTAAATAATTTTTAGTATCTTAAGACCTTGCATTCTTGTTGTCTGGGCGTGCATTTCATTGTTGTGACAAACTGGTCGACACTTTTCACCGAAAAACCCCTAGATCCCCACGTGCAAGACTATCCCGATAAATATAGTATTAAATAAATATATACGAATTTAATTTAGACGAGAATGAACGTTTGTTGTTTACGTCTAATTACTGATAGCGTGTGAGGAGACTAAAAAAAAAAGTTAAAAAAGGAAGTATTCCGATGATTACGGTGAGGTGGCAACGCGTTTTCGAAGCCATGCGTAGTATATACAGCGCGCCGAGACCTGTAAGATACACCCGCTCTCGGGGACTCATTTCAAACTAGTAAGTAGATCACCGCCTTCACCGCGGGGGTGATTGATCCAAAAGTCTGCAAAAGAGGTCATTTACTACTAACACAGTGGAGCACAATTGGTAGACGCCGCATTTATTCTAAAACTTCACGTAAAATCACTGTATGTACGAGTCTATAACAAGGAACTGATAAAAGTTATCTACTATGCTCACTGTCTAGCCCTTAGTGGTTTATTGTTCTTTGGCTCCATATATTGGCCTCGGTCGGCGGGTAGATGTAACTGGTGATTTTGATTAAATCATGCAGACACGTAGCGCGCGTACGCTGTGATCACAGGTTCTTACATAACGTTAACACTACATATTAAATTCATAGCAGCTTACTGTGTCAGTAAGTAGCGTTTACGTAAGTAGGTTTGGTAGCGAATGCTAAGGTAGCACAGTACATTCCTCACAGGCTCGATAGTTTCCATTGCAATTGCAGCGAGCAGGTATCTATGGTCAAGGTCGGCGTATCTTCTTTGCACTCGGCCGTTTAGCTAAACACTCCGGATAGAGGTTCTATTTGGGCACACTGACGGTGAAGCCTCAAGTTCGATTCAAGCTGGCGAACAAGCTACAAGTTGAAGTGTCTATACGGCCATGGTCTCAAGAAAAATTCTCAGTAAGATACGTAACTGTTTTATGCACATTTAGCTCCTCTGGAGCAGCTAACGGAATGTAAACCTTCTATCACAGGGTCACAGCCAGCAGAAAATCATGTGGTTTTCATTGGGCTCTAGTATGCTAGCAATTTGTGGATACGAAAGCTTCTTTAGTCATCGATATTTACAGAGAAGGTCGTATACAAAGCCGCAAACGGGCGAAAAGCCCTGACCTTTCCTGAGGGGTTTCGGGTTGAAAGTAGGCGATTCATGCCCTAAACCAGGTATTTAGAACATGCGATAAAGGATCCTGTACCATTGACAGAAAACCAAAATCTAACCGGACGTTGACCAGTTAAGAGGTTCAACCCCTGGCTTTTTAATGGCTGAATGGATTTATCCGTAGACGAGCAGGTTTACCAAGTTGGAGTAGTAAAACGGTACTGACAGACAGGTCTAGGAAAAGAACATTTTCTTTTCCTAGATCTGCTTTTATAACGAGTAGTTTTCCTTCATGTACCGCCTTTGAGGTCAATGCTAGCTATTCCGGTGAAGACGCCTTTATCGCCTCACCACATGGTTAAAAATCACCTAGATGCTCTCTAGCTGAAGACATACGCAATGTATGAAAAAGCCGAAATGATTCTCTAAAACCCCCGAAAGATATATGGCTGTTAAGCGAGCGCACGCGTTTGTGGTAATACGTTACATTATGTATACCAATAGATGTCCCTATGAGCTGCAGATGTTTCAAGTCAATGGGCTGAATCCCTGGAAGTGTTCGCGTTACAATATTGTGGGTTTGTTTCTCAAGTTGTGGGTTACAATCAACTGTTACGACCTTACTTCCCATTCCGAGATGGACTGTCTATATTCTTAAACTACGCTACATTATTATTTATGATTCGTCATCAGCCATTAATTACTACTGTTATTACTAGCCGGTCAGACTCGGAATCGTCTGACACATTTCTCGCAGATACGTTACTCAAGCATAGCAATGTTTGGATTGGTATTGAACTATTCAGGGTCAAACTCAACGACGGAGTTTCGTAGCGACAAGATCCAGTCTGACGCTGAGAGCTGTTGAAGACCTCATGCTATATTATACATTGTGTCAACCGCTTCGACACCAATAGGGAACGTAGCAACGGCTTTTTGTCCTAATTGCTCCAGGGTTCGTCAAACCTGTATTGACCTTGGCCAACTCAGCTTTAACCAAGGAAACGAGATTTTGACCTATGTGGAAATTAATTACTAAAGCCTACCTTTGTAGCTGGATGAAATCAAATGAGTGATTCACGTACTCCCATCACAAATTGCGATAATGAACTGGGCGCGTGTTGCTAATGAGAGTCTAGCAGTAGAATGAGCTTCGTCCAACGGAAAGAATTATGTCATATTTAATAGATCTTTTCCTAATTGATAGCATCAAATAAGCTTTCATTACTTCCAAGTTGACACGGGGCAAAATGTACTAGAGTAGGTTGTTAGCTATTACCATAACTATCCTAGATGGCACGTAGCACTGGAAAAATGCTTGCGTAGTCCAATAATTTGCTTTAAAAAATCAGGTCTAAATTAACGAATTTACTGAAGAGTTCGCCATATTTAGCTCGATTTCAAACAGCTATGACCGTTTCTATCTCAAAACTATAAGAGCAGTGTTTAATGTGTGCTTGCAAAACATCCAATAACATTGAGCGTTCGATTCACTCTAATCATTTCCAGGGGACGACGGCACCGACCCTGAAATTGCGCATTTTCTATCCTACGCAATGTCTCCAAATCCATTCTTGAACGTGCCCCGTGAGTTAAATGAAAGTCAACAAACGCGACTTTACAGCCTTTTTACTGTATCGCAGGGCCCCCTGGGCATTTCGAGCAACACCGACGTACCCCGAATACCCTGCGTGCGAAAGCCGTTCAAAAAGGAGGACATCCGCCTTCGGCCATTGGCCGGCGTGGCCGCAATCAACCAACGCCTCGAAGAAGAGGACAATGCTTCACTGGCTCATCAATGGTTTGCTCAACAACCGAATGATCAAACACGCGAATTCGAACATGACAAGATTACCTATATCGTAGTACCACGCGAAGTAGTCATTCCTGAACTATCGCAGGTTGTCTTAGTGCGACCGATGCTGGGAACACCCAATGTCTTAGATCAGGCAGGACATCGTGTTCTGTCTGACCTCCTTGGCGTATTCGGATCGATAGAGAACCAGCAATGGGTAGATGGTGCGTCGTCTCAGGGGCACGCGGGGGTCCGGATTGTGTTCCATAGTTCCTCGGCGGTAGCCCAGCTCTTGGTGAAGTGCTCCTACATTTACGAGCATGGCTATGTCTTCACAGGCGCGGTAGGTTCGCGTTGCATCAGCTTGCAGATCTGGCCCTATTGGCAGAGTTTAGGAAATTATCGACGCTACGAAACGTTCAAGGAGGAACTCATTTTTGAGGAGCCTTGCTACGTGTACGGGTTAGACGAGCCGCTCACGGGTGAACAACTAGCTGCTCCATTCGACTCCTTATTCGGGCCAGTGTTGTACGCCAAAGTGTTCCTCGATCCGCTTGGCTACCCTACGCACGAAGGATTTGTCGTGTTCCGGGAACGCGATCATCACATAGCTGCGTTGCGCTGTGGCCGAGTCGTTGTCAATGCGCGCAATATTAGGCTCATCCTTACCACTGTGCCAGAATTCGACCATGAACTATGCTGTCATTGTCTGGCGAAAGTTGGCAGGGTTTTCTGCCGGCACAGCCAGTGTACGGCCTTTTTTTGCAATGCGTGCTTTTTTAAGGTACATGATCGGCGTAGCCTGATGCGTCAAATCGAGGATCCCCTCTTGGAAGTCGTACAGGAATCTCATCGTGTCTATATCTACTCAACGGAGAAGGCTAGCGGGCAACAGGCACAGGAAGCTCAGGAACAAGAACGCGATAACAAAACACAAGTTTGCGTTCAGTCGATAATGCGAAGTCCTGCAAAGAACCAATGACGCTTTCGTGAATAGTGGTCGCTTCCAATTTCAACAGCATGGGTACGTGTACGGTAGGGTCAGCCCACTTTGAAAAAACACTGGAGCTGGGAGAGTGGAGATTGTTGCTAGTAAACACTGTCAATTACGAACGGGATCAAAACCTGATGGCTGTGGCACGTTCTTGGTTCTTTTGTTTTCACTTAAAATGTTACCAGCCTGTGTGCCAGCGCTGAATATGTCAGCTGGGTACGGAATTTGCTCACCATATATGTAAACTGGAGAGGTCAAGCAAAATGAAGTGATAACGTTGATAAAGTTGTTGTTTGAGATGGCCGAAACAGAAGAGGTCTGTTGCGAGCATATTATCATGAAGATTATGATATTTATGGAAAGGACTGTGCCATATGTTTCCGTATATTGCTTAAATAAAGGTGTGTTTTTCCTTAATTTAATTGAACTCGTTTGGATTCGTTTGGAAACTAGCTACTAGTGAAAGCCTAAATCCTACAAATACAGAAAGTTGTCATCACTTCGACCAGCCAACTCAACATCCAGCTTATTATTATGATCAGTGCGTTTGAGAACCGAAAAGGGTAGCTCTGTACGCAAACAGGAAATGAAAATAGTACATCTAGAGAGCCATCTATAGCAATTACAGACTAAATATTTGGGCCAAAACAAGGACACGTTATTTTCCGATCTATTGACGGCCGGAAAAAGCAGGCTAAATAGGAAAACGAGTCGCCCACTAAGCGATGCTGATTAACTTCGCGCTATTATTTCTATTGGTTGATTCTTGGCAAAAATTAAGTCTGCTTTTAAAAGGTTAGCATGTATTAAAGCAAACTACAGAACAACCACAAGACGCAGATAGGCGAGATCATCGTATCATCATAGTATTTTGATTGCATCACTTGCATGGTCCGAAATACGACGCCATCGAGTGCGATTCCCTACCCTAGGACATGAGAGTCTAACGCAGTTGGGTCGCACACGTGGGTCTGGCAGTAGCATTACGCTGCTACGAAGCGGTGACTGAAGTGCGTGTTGGCTTGTTCGGTTGAGAAGCTAGAGTTGTTGATGCAACGCCTGGTGCATTCAGGTAAACAAGCTCAGCTACTGGACACTGGCTTTGTTGAAATATCTTTAGGTGTTCGGGGTATGCTTAGCCCAGCTGGTTCGCCTTTACGGAGATCTGTAGGGAACCAATCCTTTGATTGAAGTTTCCTCGCAGCACCACTACTATCTAATGTCTCATCTGTTTCGACCATTGTAAGCGAGCCTAAAGCTACCTGCCAATGCCGTGATGTTTCACAGATACAGCCGAGGCTCTCCTACTGCTAAACGATGTCACTGTGCATGATAACGCCTCCATCATTAGCGGTAGTGTACGTTCTCTGAGGATTTGTTTTGGGTAGCCGCGCAGACACGGCAGACTGAGCTAGGCCGATTCGTTCTAGATTTCAGCATAGAGGTGAAAATGAACCGTATCAGTATGTGAGGATATAGATATGTGGGTCAGCTAAAGAGACGTTAATTCGAAAAAAATTAGCATTTTTGCCAATTTTCCATCGATATAAGCAGATAATCAATGCTATCTCTTCCCGCCAATTACGGGTATTTACGTCAGATAGGAATCTGGTGGTGCTTTATCAAATAGAAGCAAGCAGAGTAACTAGCTCGACATCGAAACGATCTTTTCTGAGCAGACTGCTTTTCGTAAAAAGTTATTGAACATAACTACTGGAAGTTATACAAGTTACGGTTCTTCTGTACGCTACCGATTAGCGTAGCGCACCGACGGGGAGACTATGTGGCACGTCTCAATCAGAGATAGCGATCATACCCCGTGATTAGTCATACCTGTTTCTTTATGCCAGATTCGAAGATGATTGCAATAATTACACGAGCTTAATAGCGGCCAAACGAACTTAAGTGAACTATGCGCTCGTTATTATATCTCTCTTGAACAAAGTATAATTTCTGGGTCAGTATTTAGTAAATGGATCAAAGATCAAAAATTCATATTCTCTCGAAAAATAATGATAAGATAAAAGACTACTTAACGGATTCATTTGTATACGTATTTTTCCGCGGCAACGGTTATTGGGCACATTTTAGCTGACATAGCGTATACCTACGTTTGCCATACATTAGGAAATATCTAGGCAACTGCAACGATCGTTTAAAACAAGATATTTCTATCGAAGAGGGCTATCCCCTGCAAGGTGAAGATTTTTCATACTAAATTTTTTTTTAACTTACGGTTGTTTTTATTTTCTGAACCGTGTGCGTTTGTCATGTCCATCGTCGGGTTCTTCTAGTAAGACCTTATGCCCGGCGCGTGCGCAGCCCGCTTGTAAATCGATATATATATCTAGGTTTGTCCTTATCGAGGAGCTACCTTTATATCGGTGGTGCAGCGCGGAATTAGGCAGGTTTTGTCTATGACCAGCAGCCCTTATCGTCCCGTAAATCAAATGCAGCACGTAAAAGAAGCTATAATTAAGTGTACATGTTTTAATTATCTCAAGGACGATTTCACTATCAATGGGAAAATGTTTGTGATTACGTTCTTCACCTTATCGGCTCTCTTATTCTCAGTCGGCAGAAACTCTTATTCTTACGCCTCATCTTGAAATAGGTACGTTCACCATATTACCAGTACAATTCAGTATCCTGCTTGTTCTTCATTTGTTTAGCGAATTATAGGGTTTAGCTGTCTTCGTTCGGACGTTCGTATGCGTGTGTATTATTATTAAAGGGAGTCATTTTTGGCTAGTAGTAATCAAACGTAGTGATCGTTACCCTTCTGCCACTTTTTTCGCGTAACGCAAACCCGGTCTATTTACAAGCAGCATCAAATGTACCGTATCGGTTCCGACGGCTTGTTTACTTTGATATACTAACACGTTCGTTGCGCGGCTACAAGTAAATCGTCGCGTCGGTTCTATTCAGATTGACCAAGGAGACTGGTAAGCGACCTGGTAGCACCCGAGCCCACCAGGCACACATACACCCACCCCGCGATGTTCCTGGGTCGTCTGCACGATGATGAGCGTATTGCTTGACCGTAATGTAAGATGATTTTGGATACGAAGGTAGAGTACGATAATATTTGTTGTCGCGTGTTTCCTAGATTAGTCGAAATTTGGCATTTCGGTGTGGAAATTAGGTGCTACGTTATGTGAAGTCTCTAGCTCGTTCGATCTCACAACTAACGATATATGGTTTTGCATGGTCTTAAAGCTGAATACTTTCTATAAGAGTAGAAAGGTATTGAGAGTTCGGCTCAATTGCCCCGGACTACCCCATATTATCAACGCTAGCCCCAATTTATCAATGCTCTAACTGGCTTGATCGTCCCAAATCGACACGCGAGTAAGTGCCCAATTCACACTTATCGCAACTAACACGCTTCACGTGCACAGTAAATATTTTACGGAATAACTACAGCCACGCATGAGCAGAAGTAACGATATATATAACTAAATCACTCCTGCCTATTTTATGCAGATCTCGTCCTCCTACGAATCGTATGCGACCTTCTAATAGATCGTGCAAATAAAATCCTTCCGACAGAATGAGCTATTGTACCCCACTCTGCTTCTTTAATCCCCTAACGTTCACCGGACAACGGACACAGGTACAGAATAGGCCACACGAAATGTCATGTGACATCATACTTCGACTGATGTCGTGATTATTGTCGTCCATTTATCGATGTATGAAGATTTTCATTGCGTTCATACTGTACCTGACCTGGTTTCGAACGATCCGAAGCTATTATTCCGCTAATTCGACAACTTTCAGCGCGTTTCACTTCATCTTTTCTGCGGTCACGCGCTAATACGTAAATACATTCAATATACTAACTCGCCCCAGAGACACATGTTGAAGCATAGATACTGTCAAGCCTACTGACTCCTGTTATAAATCCGTTTATTGACCGCTTCTACTCGTCTTCATTTGTTTATGTGATTTTGCTTTCGTTTCTCAGAGATTCCAGCAAGCTTCGCAGGAATATTGGCAGCAGCAACGCTAGCAATTGTCGCTTGTCACCGCGTATTCATCTTAAGTTCTCGAACCCCTCTATCCTGAACATGCGCTGTATCGTTATAAAGTTTATATCTCATACGGACCCCAATATATTTCAGTCGCTCCGTAAACAGATTGTAAGCGTAACGCAAGTATTAAACGCCTCGTCTACTGCCTCGTTCACTAACTGGCAGAGACTTCGATGTGTACAAATGGCACTCAATCATTGCTTCTATTGGTCTTACTCTCGCGACGGCGATGGCAGAAACGGGCAACCCCACGAAAACTTTTAGCTTTCGCCGTCCATTACCAATCAGACGAACAGACACATCAAATACAATATTCGTAGCGTACGGCTGTCGCATCCCTGAGCGACTTTGACTAGACCCGGAGGTCCCGTAATGGGAAAATTTTCCGTCCGACGAGGCCACACGGTCGAGCCACGGTTACGAGAGGGCGTAACGAGGGTTGTTCAAATGAGGGCTACAATTTTTGCCAATTGCTAACCTGCTGCCGGTGCTAGCAGTAAGCGTTATTGCTGCGGCGACCGCTCCTGGTGTTGCCATACGTTGAGCCACAATACTAATTGAAGTACATAATAGTATTATCGACAGCGCACGCCGTATAAGGGCTGCGGTAGCGAGGGTTCATTGAGGATTGAGGGATGGTAAAAGAGCTAGCCGTGCGCGACAAACAAGACATTGCTTGCAGCAAGAAACAACCCCATAGACTGTCATTTATGGAATCAGCGCCTGCAGCAGCCGCGTGTGAGTTCGGAAGAGGGAATAATCGCGTCAATTAACCCACAGTGAGTTGACCGCAAACGTTCCAATATACGAATACGGAGGTAGTTGTCGAATATGTAAAACTTAGAGGAGATTTCAAAAATATAGCGCGAAATGTATCATAGAAAAATAACGATACTACAGTGTGCTGTTGTAGAACGGCTTCGTCGTACAGGAACGATAGAAAGGTAAAATAACCAGTCTCGTCGATCCCTTATGTATATACACATATATAAAGGATATACGTGTATGTATACACATATATATATATATATAGAACGATTAAATCAGATACGGGAGCAATGAATTCGATTTAATTGAATTAAACGATTTATGAAGGCTTCTGTCGGCACCTCGTATAGTTTAATAACATCGCCATAGTTGTCAACGTGTTGCCAGCCCTATTAGGCTTTGTTGATATTATTTGATGCTTTGGTAGCGACTGAGCCATTGTTCTATTATTACTAATTGGTAGTTGACCATTATTCAGAAGCTTGTCACACTACAATACACAGGTAGATCGATAATTGTTAGGATATATGATGTTATTGAATTT